CTTAAATAAGAAACCTATTTATTTTTCCCACAGAACGCTTTTCTTCCCACTCCCTTTTCCATACAAAATTAGGTAATAAGCATTAAACGTTAACCATTTAATGAGCTAGTGACTTCTTTTGTTGGCTCCCTGCATGCATACAAAATAAACTCATTTCTCCTGTTAATCTGTCTTTTGTTTAATTTACAGGCCACAGCCATTAAATAAAAGGATAAAGTTTTCCCTCAGTAAGGGGCTACAAGAAATCTTAACCACTTAACTAGCAAGTTACTTAAGCTTTTTATGCCTTACTCAACTATAATGTAAAATGGGGGATAACAGTGCCTACCTTATAGGGTTTTATGGAAATTAGAGGTAATAAATGTTAACATGGTTAGTATCATGCCTGGCACACAATTTTTGCTATTATATTTTATTATCCAATTCATAAGAGACTCTTGAACTTTAGAGCAGGAATTAGTTGCTAAAATTTTGTAACTTCTGAATATGGAGTAAAAAAGTAGCCTTATAATTCCAGTGCCCATATTTATTACTGATTATAATTTTCCCCAGAATAATGAGCAGTAAGCTCTAAAAAGTAAATTGTTTCTTATCGCTGGAGTTACCAAAACTGAGGGGAGTTAGAAGATAAAGTCTCTTTAAATGTTTCACAGAGATTATTTTTTCATACTTAGAGTCTAAGTAATAAAAGTTCAAAGTATACAAGCTGAAAAACCCAAAATAGCATTTTATGTAAGACTAATAGGCAAGTTACAGATCCTAAAAGATAAAAACTTAACTCCTACCAAAAGCTTACCTCTTTGCTCTTTTTCTGTCTGTATGTCAGATTATCAATGAAGCAGAGAATCCCAAGGGATTCATCATTAGTAAAGTGAATACTAACTGCAAGAAGATGATTCATTATCAGAGTGTCAAGCGACTCTTTTCATATTTCTTAAAATGGCCAGCTCACTGAGAAAGAAAATCTGAGTCTTATCCTCAACTTATATCCTTGGCCCTCAGAGTAGTTACATACTAATGATGTGGAATATGTTTTTATAAAAAAGTGCTGTACAACAAAAATATATTTGTTAATTAAAAACACATAATTAATATTAAAATATAACATAAAACTATAGTGTCACTGTCTAATAAACAAACATTACATATGCAGCAATATAGCAAGGAGGACAGGTGAGTTTTCGAAGCACCCAAAACATGCTTTTAAATTTTAACTCTCCTATCTTTGTTCTTCCATTATTCTTTACCTAGAATGTCATTTCTTCTCTCTGCCCATCTATATCTTATCTATTCTTTAGGTTGTCAGTTAAGCCTCAATCCTACTCTACGGCATCTTTTCTCATGCTAGGCAATATAATTTACCTCTTCTTGAATTCCTAAGGCAATGTTTGTCTTCTTTTGTGCTTTGTTGGTACTTAAACCCTTGTGTTAGGCAATGGTACCACAGCTGTTGTAAAAAGATTACAGTATACAACATTGCCAGACTAAGCACTCAACAAAGTATTCCCAGTGGAAGAATCCAGATTTTGAAGTCAAGAGACTTAGTACTGAATCTTAGCTATTACTAGCTTTGTTATCTGAGTTTATTTCATCATCTGTATGTAGGAATATAGTTACATTATTTGATAAGGCCCAAAAGCAAGGCTTAAATAAATAATAAACAAATAGGTACCGAAATAAACATGAAATTATTAATCCTGTTTTGTGCTATAAAAGAAAAATATCACAGTGCTATGAGAAATGGAGAAGGAGCCGGCCATATAAGAATAGGGAAAAAGAAATTTTAAGAAAGAACAAAATGAGCAGAGAATTAGGAAAGTATCTGGTGCAATCAAGGGTCTTAAAGGAGTCCTGTATGGTTAGACTTAAGGAGCAGAACCAAGCGAAGTACAGGTACTGTGCTGTGCTCAATCACACAGGGCCTTGCAGGCTCTATTTATAGGGTTTGGATTTTATCCACAGTATGATGGGAAATATTTTAAACAGAAAATTATACAATCCAATCTCTGTATTTAAAAAATATCATTTTGGGTAAGGAACAGAGAATAGATTAGAGAAAATCAAGAAAGAAATGAGGAGAACTTGTTAGAGGCTATTAGAATAGTTCAGGAAAGAGAACAGGGTGGCTTTGGTTAGGGTAGTGACCATAACACAGATGTTGAGAAAGGAGTGGGAGGTGAAGGATGACTTCTAGACTGTGGCTTAAGCACCGTTTACAGAGACAGTAAAAGAACTGTTTCAGATATGTTCAATTTCAAACACTAGGGAGAAATACAGCCGGAGAAATCAAATAGGAAATTAAGTCTGGTGTTCGGGGGATGTTCAGAAAGAAGATATAAGAGTAATGAACATAAAGGTTTAAGCTTGAAATATAATGCAAATTCTCCTTGATATAAAAATGCCTCCATCAAGTCTAGAATAGTTTAAAGTTTTGGATAATCTAGAAAAAAACAATCAGAAAAGTTTATTAGAAATATAGAAATCACAAAAAAGAACGAAAGAAAGAAAGGAAAAAAAGAGTATAAGCACAGAGAAAGGTAATCTGAAAGGTAAATTCCTGGGCCCATTCAATAACTATCCTGGGAAAAGGGTAGCCCACTCCTGCCAACAATCAGTGGCAAGTATATCTAGTGCATAAATGGGTACCTTCGGTTAGTTAGGAGCTACTAAATATAAAAATGGTAAAATTAAATAACTATCCTCGTTCTGGTCTGTGTTCACCAAGCATTAGAGAGCAGTTCTTCCTTCCATTGATCAATTTTTACCCCCTTATTAATATCAATATTTTTACCCGGATCCCAGATTTTTTCTTGATAAACATTAACTAGAATATGTCTGAATTTTTACCATTCTAAGTAAATTTTCTATCATGCTGTGTCTTTTCAATATAAAAATTCACGTCTTTTTAATTCAGGGGTGTTTTCTTGAATGTATTATGATTTCAAACATTTACTTTCTTCTTTTAAAATTTTTTTTTTCATAAAGTCTAAAATTATGTATATGTTGCATATATATAATTGCCTGTCTTCTATTGCTAATATTATCTCTTTCACCTTTTAAAATCCTTTTTGTTTGTTTCATCTCATTTAATTTTACTACTGTATCCTTTATGTTTCCTATTGATTTTTCTACAGTGTCTCCTTGCCTTTGTGGTCCAATTTAAAACACTTGTTTGCCTTCTTCTTTCCTGGGCTCTGTTAATTCAAAATTAAACTCTTCCGGTTGTTAAGCCATCTTTGCCTACATCTATTCTTACATTTCTACTTTGTGGTCTTCTTTCAAAGACGTGAATGTACAAATTGTTAAAAACATTAAGATCAAATTTTCATCGAATTTGTGTCAATTTGTATGTGTGTGCATGTGCGTGTGACTAACCTTTACTTGTTGCTAAGTTTTGCTGTCTGTTTCTACATTTTCTTATTAATATCTTTGCATGAATACCAGGCCAGTTACTTTCAAATTACTTATTATTTATGAGTTAGATTTTGTGGACAAGTTTTAGGCTGGACCAGAAAGTTTTGGAATCCAGAGTGATGGAAGCACAGGTTCTTTACAGTCTTTAAAACCAAAAGACTGTCACATTATATGATGCTATGAAGACAGACTGCTTTATCCAAATATGCATTCTCCACTTCTTTACACCAAACCACGTCGAGAATGAGTTGTGCTCTAGCCTGCTGACTCCAATTCCCATGAGGCTTGCCATAAACAGGGATAATGTTTTCATACCTCAAAAACAAGCCCCTCACCTTCAGGAAGTTCAATTTTCTGTTATATTCTAAGTTCTGCCACCATTGAATATTTTCAACCTCTCATGTGTTTTTATTCTTTCCCTCTTTCCTTGTGGCTTCTGTCAGATCTCAAGCTGCTTAAGTAACCTTTGCCTATATTTTGTTGTCCAAGTATTATCTGTCTTCTTAGTTTGCTTAATGTGAGATGGAGTTGTATGAGTAGCAGAAGTATGTGTAGTGCATGTTTTATTTTCCTTGCTGCTTTTGTGAGTTTTCTGGGGGAGGTCAGGGAGCAGATACTGACTTACCCTTAATCATACCTAAATTTCTTATAAACATACAAATAGGAAGCTTCCTATAATACTAAACAACCAGTGATTACAACTAGGCTTCCATATAGTATACCTATAGGGCAAGAATGTGTTGGCCAGAAGATAAAAGTATGTCAGTTTTATTTCTTACAAAAATTAATAAATTGGCATTCTGACTTCATATATTAGTCCCTATTTGTTTGGGTACTGTGAATGTATTTGGCGTTGACCTCTTACGTAAATGAATTTATCCTTGTTCAGTTACTAAACCCAAACTGCTGAGGTTTATAAGACTGTACATATTATGAAATAGCAAGCAATGCCCAACACACTATTTTGATCCTCTAAAACACGTATTAGGTTCTGTTACAAAAATAAATAACACGCTAAGAAAATAATAATAAATGTAACAACTGCTAAATTATAGAATGTTTCACTTGATTCCTTTAGTCACATCATTCTTCTTGGCTCCTTTACTCACATCATTCCTTCCTCCTTCGATTTGCTGTTTATGAACATTAACCAGGATGCTATGTATTCCTTTGGGTGTTTAAGCTTTTTAAATTCCACTGAGGTTTTATCGAAGTGGTTATGTTGATGTACACTAGAGTCTTATATATGTTTAAATGGCATGAACTCAAATTTTCCATTACCATCTTCTTCTCCCTAGGAACTTAGTAAGGTCATGCCCATGATACTTTGCTATCTAGAAACACACTGCAACTCAAACTTATATTCTTTCTCTTTATTTTAAATAGCAATAGAGGCTATTAGAAACATATCTTAAACCCTGGTATTAATAAATATAATCTAGTTCAAAAGTGAGAACATATACTAGGATTAATATATCAGAACAAAACATAAAAAAGAAAGTTAAGTTTAGAAAGCTGAACATTATTAAGAGGCATGTCTAAAAACTGAAATAAACAATAAATATAGATAGCAAGAACTTCATTACCTTCAGGTCGATATTGTGCAACAATTGTGACAGCTTGGCCAGCATTTTTCAAAGCAGCTGCTGCTTGCTCATGGCTGGCAGTTCTGAGGTCAACACTGTTTACCTGTAAATCAAACCAAATCTTAAATTTGAAAGAAAATTATCACACTGATTAGAAATTACAATAGCCTGTTCTTTGAGTAGAACAGATAAATAAAAAATTTACTCATAATTACTTTATCACTAAAATATTTTCTTGTTTTAATCTACTAAAATTGTACAGTAAAACAAAACATTATCATTAATCAAAGGAATTTTATTCATTAAAAATACTTAGCTTAATATCAAGTGAGTAAAACCAAAATATTCCCCCCTAGATTTTCCATAAGGTTGTCTATCAATCTCTTGAAAAATGTACCTTACTTTGACAATCTGAAAAATCAACAAGTGTTATTTTGTACATTTCATTTCACCAGTAACTCCAGCAACAGGAGGGAAATTCATTTTGTAGCATCTTCAATTCCTGCTATATTTTCACTCCTATTACTCATGTCAGTTCCAATTCTTTTCCTTCCTTTTCCGAATTAAAGCTTCCACTTATTTAGAGTTAATAGAAAAACATTTATTTTAAAGTATTAAAATAGCTCAGATTTCAAGGATAACATTTAAATAGAGTAAATGTTATTAAGTGAGCAAGGTTTCATTTTTTAAAATAATTTATCTTTCAGTTATAGCTGGCATACAATATTATATTAGCTTCAGGTGTATAATATAGTGATTAGACATCTATATAACTCACAAAATAATCACCCCAATATGTCTAGTGCCCCTCTGATATTGTACATAGTTATTACAATACTATTGGCTATATTCCTTATGTTACACTTTCTATCTCCTTGACTATTTTGTAACTACCAATTTGTAACTTCTTAATCCCTTCTTCCTTTTCACCAATCCCCCAAACTCCCTTCCATCTGGTAATTCTCAAATGTTCTCTGTATCTATAAGTTTCTGTTTTTGTTTATTTTGTTCTTTAGATTCTACATACATGTGCAATTATATGGCATTTGTCTTCCTCTATTTGATTTACTCCACTCAGCATACTACCTATATCTTTTTCCATTCCTTTACTTTTAGTCTATATATGTCTCATCTGAAGTGAGTCTCCTATAGGCAGCATATGTAAGGGTCTTGTTTTCTTATCCATTCAGCCACACCATCTTTTGACTGAAGCACTTAATTGTTTTTCATTTGAAGTACTTGTTGACAGATATGTAGTTATTGCCTTTCTTTATTTAGACTTTTTGATACATATTTTTTCTTTTTCTTAAAGAAGTCCCTCTAACATTCCTGTAATACTGGCTTGTGGTGATGAACTCTAGCTTTTTCTTGTCTGAGAAGCTCTTTACCTGTCCTTCAATTCTAAATGATAGCTTTGCTGGGTAAAGTAATCTTCGTTGTAGGTCCTGGGTTTCTATCACTTAGAATATTTTGTGCCAAACCCTTCTGGTCTGTAAAGTTTCTATTGAGAAATTGGCTGACAGTCTTCTGAGTGTTCCCTTCTATGTAACTAATTGCTTTTCTCTTGCTGCTTTTAAGATTCTCTCTTTGAATTTAACCTTTGGCATTTTAATTATGATGGGTTTTGGTGTGGGCCTCTTTGGGTTCATCTTGTTTGGGAATCTCTGAACTTCCTGAGGTTGTATGTCTATTTCCTTCACCAGATAAGGAAAAATTTTCATTATTATTTCTTCAAATAGGTTTTCAATTCCCTGTGCTCTCTCTTCTTCTTCTGGTACCCCTATGATGTGGATGCTATGTTTAATGTTGTCCCAGAGGCTTCTTAAACTATCTTCATTTTTTTTTTTAGATTTTTTTTTCTTGTTGCTGTTCTGATTGGTGTCCTCTGCTACCCCATGCTCTATGTCGCTGATTTGATCCTCCATTTCATCTACTCTGTTGATTTTCTCTAAAGTACTCTTCATTTCAGATATTGTAGTCTTCATTTCTGACTGGTTCCCTATTATTTTCCCATCTCCATTTTTATGTTTTTTATCTCTTTGTTAAAGTTCTCACTGAGTTCATCTACTTTTCCTCTAAGTCCCTCCACCATCCTTATAGCCCTGTTTTGAACTGTGCATCTGATATACTGCTTGTCTCCGTTTTGGTGAATTCTTTTTCTGGTGCTTTGTTCTTTTCTTTCATGTGGGACATGGTTCTTTGTTTCACCATTTTGGCTGCTTCCCTGTGTCTGTTTCTATGTATTAGGTAGGACTCCTAAGTCTCCCAGTCTTAGCAGAGTAGCTTTATATAGTGGGTGTGCTATAGAGCCCATTGGCACAGTTCTGGGAGAGGTTAAGCTTCAGGCCAAGTTCAGTCGCAGCCTGTGCATCTCCAGGGCCATCTGGTAAGAGTCATCAAACAATCCACAAATGGTTCAACCCGTGCTGGGCTTAAAGGTGCCTCAAGAGGCCAAGTCAGAAACAAAGACTGGCTGCCACTAGTATGGAGATTGGGGCTGCTCGGCAAGAGGTACAAGGCACACTGAGGCAAAATGTCACTTCTTTGGGTTTTGTGAGCCTTTGAGAGATTTTATGAAAGTTCACAACAGGAGCCAAGACAGCCCATTTGTATGGAATAAATCATTGGAAGAGGCTTGGGTGGGTTCACAATTTGGGAGAGGCGGAATCTCAAGGAATCTCCTGGTCTGAGCAACCAGTGTTATCCAGGTTGATCTTCAGCCTGGGATGAGAGAGGGCTCAATAAAGGAACAATGGCTTCTGCCTGCACCTCTGTCTGGGAGGCAAGCCACCCCTCCAGCCCTCACCCTGAAGCTCAACGATAGTGCCTCCCTGTATGTCCCTGGCACTCCTGGAGCAGCTGCCCCAGCACTGGAGCTCAGAATGAGTGAGTCCATCAGCAAGTAAGGTTTGGTGTGGGCCCCGTAAGAAGCTGGTTTCTGCTTCTTGCGGTCCTCTGTCTCACTTAGCTGCAACCTCCACTGGGGACTTCTCTTCCTGGCACTAGAACTCTGGGATGAGGAGGCTAGTTGTGTCCAGGGCTCCTTACTCCCCAGGTCGGGGAGGTGGCTCTACAGTCAAGATAGCCCTCCTGGTTCTGGATTGCCTGTTTCATGTCTCCGATCTTTCTACCGTTTTGAAGTGACCTGTTATTAGTTCTAAGGCTTCTGTTCAGCCAGACCTCAGGTGACTCTGCATACTGGCTGCTCTGAGTTTTGTTATAATTTTGGTGTGGTCGCTAAGAAGGCATGCACAGCCTCTACCTTCTATGCCATCTTGAGAGGAGCCTTAACTAAGATTTCAAGGTTTCATTTTTTGAATAAAGGGCTCTTCCACAGTTGAAATAATTACTGAGGTTATAAATTCCACTCCAGAAGAATAAGCAACTTAATTCTTATTTCTGAAAGGCCAGCAATACCTAGTATATACTGCATGGTACACTATCTATAAGAAAAACAACGTAAGATTTATGAAGCATTGTATCTGAATGTAATAAACTTTAAATATTTAAGCAGACTTTTCCCCAAAGAACCAGCAATTAATAGAATACAGCAATGTTCTTAACTGAATATTTTTTGGAAAGAAAGAACCGTCATGTAATTTTTATATGAAAACCTGTTTTGTTGGCATCTAATATAAAACCTATTAAAGATCACACACCAATTTTGGAAAATCCGACTGTATACAAGTCCAGAAATTCTTGGGATAATAAAATTTACACAAAAGAACATTTTAACCATGTAAAGACCTAGTATTTTATATTATCTATGAAAGATATCATTATGCAACTAAGTTAGAACACAGACACCTCTCAAATAAAAACCAAGATTCAAAAGCTTAATCTAAACAAATGTAACATATTGTGGTTTTATGAGCGAATATCTCTAGTTGAAGGTTATAACAGACAACACAATATATTAATAGTTCTACTCCGAGCAAAAAGAAAGTCCTCCTAATTGCCAGGAGAACAAATTAGGCAAGAAATATAAAGGAAGAAAGAATTTCACTGATTATTGTAGAGAAGATTATAATTTTTAGTGAAATTGAGCATCAAATACTTTTGCTACATAAAAGGTTTGAAGACAGGCTATATAAAGTTTAAAGAGAACACTTTGTTAACGAGACTACAAATTAAAAACTTTCTTAAATATCATTGAATATTTTAATGGAATATACATTATCAAAAATATTTGAGAAGAAATGCTTGCACTGAGGCATTTGTGTAAACTGCCTCAGGGTCTCTTTTTTTACATTGACACTTAAAAAAGGGAGATATAATTTACATAAAATCCACACATTTAAAGTTTACAACTTAGTGGTTTTTAGTACATTTACAAGGATGTACAACCATTACCATGACCTAATTCCACAACATTTTCATCATTCAAAAAGAAACTCACTACTCATTATCAGTCATTCCTCCCCTTTCTCTCCCTTTGGCCCCTAGAAACCACTAATCTTTCTGATTCTGTGGATTTGTCTATTCTGTATATTTTAAATAAGCGGGATACTATAATATGTGATCATTTGTGTTTGGCTTCTTTCACTTAGCATGTTTTCATAGTTCATCCTTGTTGTAGCATTTATTAGTACATTACTTTTTATGGCTGAATAATATGCCATTGTATGAATATTACGCCTTTTATCTACTTTAAATTTATTTCTAAGTATTTCATTCTTTTTGATACTACTGTAAATAAAATTGTTTTCTTAATTTCCTTTTTAGGTTGTTCAATGCTGGTATCTAGAAATACAACTATTTCTTGTTGTGATTCTCTGTCCTACAAACTTGCTGAAGTTGTTTATCAGCTCTAAAAGTTTTGTTGTTGTTGCTGGATTTGCTAAAATTTTCTATATATAAGATCACAGCATCTGTGAATAGTTTTTTTTTATTTTGATTTATTTTCTTAGTAATTTCTCTGGATTATAATTAACATATTATAACAATCTATTTTGAATTAATACTAACTTAATTTCAATAGTATATAAAAATTCTGCTCCTATATAACTCTGTGCCCTCTATCTCCCTTGTGATACTATTGTCATATAAATCACATCTTTATACAATGTGTGCCCATCAACACAGATTTAAAATTGTTTTATT